CGCTCCACCAAGATTTATTAGAGATCGTGTAAAGGTCATACAATAGAAGATTCGAATGTCTTCAGCTCGTGCTCAGATTCGTAATCTCGCGTCTAGGTTCCATTACGACAACATCAAGCGTGGTGCAGTGGTGTCCGACGTGGTTTTCTCCAAGCGAGGTCGGGGGATCGAATCCTACTCCTTGCGAAAATAGGAGATATATTTTTTTTATTACCAGATTAGGAGGAAGAAACGCGCGGGCCGTGCGGCCCGCGTCCAGGCCCGCACCTCACACAGTCCCAGCCCGCGCGCCCGAAGACAGCTCGCGAACGGCCGGACCAAGCCCGCGTGAGCCCAGCTTTCTTAGCCCGTGCCCAGCGGCCCAACAGCGACGAGATTTCGGCCCAGGTTCTTCCAGCGTGGCCCAGGTGGAGTCCACTCGCTCTAGGCAGCCCAGATCGCGCCCAACTCGGTCCAGGCGGTCCATGCAGCTCCAGATCGGCCCAGCAGCGTGGCAGCATGGTTCAACCCGGTTCAGGTGGATCCAGCAGCTCCGGTTCGTGTCCAAGGCGGTTCCTGAGTGGGCCGAGGAGTCCGATTCACTTACCGAAGGTCCGAGACGATCCGATGAGCTTGATGAACGACCGGAGCACCATGGTGACTCGATTAGAATCGAGAAAGGTCAAGTCTAGCCGCCCATTAGACTTTGGTGTTCAGACGATCTCCATCAACGGAAATCAGAAACGTCTCAGAGTCGGCAAAAAAGTTTTAAACCGTAAGTCCTAATCCTAACTATAGATTCCGCTGCGTTAGGATTTATTATTCAATAGATTTGAATGTGCACATTGTCGACGTTCTTAATAGAACCCAACATATATCTTCAACGGGTTTAGACCGTTCGTGACTCTTCTTTTCTTTGAATAAAGTGCGGGGGTCTAGTTCGTCATCTTCCTTGATTGGCTCTTTTTTGGGTCGTTTCTCACGATCTTGAGTTAAATCAGATGCAGGGAAGTCATTAGGAACTGAGATGGCCCCCAATTCCGAAGTCGGAGCTTGAAGTTCTTGGCGTTCTGGAATAGAAAGAGGTATACTCGTTTCTTGTGGTATTTGATTTAAACATTCTCCGTTGACATCAGTATTAACATCAAGATTCTCTATCACATGAATCTCTCGAGATGGAGTTGTTAGAGACAATTCTCGAGCTTCTTGTTGATTCCATAATGCGTTCCCTCTCCATTTGTTGTTGGGAACATTATGGCATAATAAAAATTCGATACTACAGCTCGGACTTTATAAAGTGTTGTTCTACCGATCAGAGCATTGTATTTATTTTTTATATCATGACCTTGAAGGTTTCCATAATGACTTCAGAAACATGTCTGGGAGTTCCGAACCGGACCAGAAGTGTGATTTCACCTATCGAACATGCAATGCTTCCATTAAATCCTTGGATTCGGTCATCACAAGGTTTAATCTCGGATGGGTCTATTCCCATTTTTTCGATCACTCGATACATCAATATACTCGAGTAGGCCTTGGTATCAACGAGAATACAATGAACTGGGATATTTCCGCTTAGAGCTGTGATGATCAAGGCGTCAGAGTGAGGATGCACAAACAAATTGGCGTCTTGTGCTGTGAAGGTTATTGGACAATTACGAGAATTTATAGTGTCCCGTAAGTCAATAGTGATAACTCGTTTCCCCGAGTTACGGGCTTCTCGAGCATTTGATTTTGCTTGGCAGTGTGATGGAGTCGGCCTTCCGTCATTAGTATTAACTCGGGGAATACAATGGTACGGTGTTAAAGTAAGAGTAGATAAATTCAGTCGGATTTTCTTAGCAGATTCATCTCTTGAACTTTCTGAGGTAAAGCTAAAAACTTCCTTATCACCTGGGCGAATCCTTCTTCTTCATCTTCATCATCATCAGGGATCTCAGTTGGCCTACCTTTGCGTTTGAAGTCGGGATTTTTGGCAAATCTTCGAACTTGCGGTATCCCTATCAGCCTCAACAAGACTGACAACAAGCTTAAGCATTTGTCGGTATTGTGCCTAGGATATTTATGGTAGGCGCAATATTTCGATTTATCTGCTTGGTCTTCCGGAGTTCTAATCGGCCAAGGATCAGAGATAATTCCTTTCCCTTTGAGTTCTTCAAATATGGTCGCAGCCCCGGCAGAATAAATAGTTTGATAACCTGACTTCAAGTCCTTGGCGTATTGTCTTTTTGCCATACGTACTTCTGGGTCATTGGGGTCATCTTTCGCCTGTCCCCTGAATTGAGGCTTACAGAATCTTCCGGCAGTGAACTTTCTATCCTTTTTTTTAGCGTCAGCTTCCGTCGTCGTCTCTTTAGGAGTAAAACTAAATTTTGGAACTGGCATCAATTCTTCAGCTATGATATGTTGTTGTGCTCAGGCAAAAAATTCTTGAAAGTTGCTTGGTTTGTTATGGCAAAGTGTCCACCGAAAAAGAGAATTCGGTCTAAAGCCAAAAATAGCAGTGACAAGAAGTGTTTCAGGATGACAAGGCTCCATGTTCTAAACTCGGTCATTGAAGTGTGCTATATAGCCCTTTACACTTTTATTTTCTTTTTGGACAATATTAGTGATTGATTCTTTTGGAACGAGGCAAATTTGGGCCCCATTAAAATGAAACTGGAAGGCTGACCTTAATTGCTGTCAGTTCCAAATTGAACGATGAGGTAAAGAATGATTCCATTTTTAGGCCCGAGGTCCCAACGTCAACGAGAACATACGGCATCATAGAGCATCTGTCGCTCCATGTAAGTCCATCTAGAAAGTGTATTGTTCGAGATGAGCGTCAGTGTAATATCCCGTCAGTTTATTAATATAAACCATGTTTTAGTTCCGGTATAATTACGTTATCGATTATTATTTTCGAAATTAATTATTTTCAGTCATTTCAGTCGAGAATACCCAAAATTATTTTCGACGTTCCGTTTACGTTCAGAATAATTTTGGGAATTAAGTATTATGCTTAATAAAATAATTAAGCATTTAATTGTGATTAATTAATAATTAATCACAATTAACAAGTAAAAGCCGTACGGATTTTGTCCCAAATTACTCCAAATGGCCGTAGCACTTTTCTTTCAAGTGGAAGGGAAATTTTCTCCAAAGCTTGTAGCATGAGGTGGCAATAAAAGTTATTAGTCATCCTTAATCTCCTAGCTAATCTACAAGTGTCATGCTATTGCTGAAACAACAATACACCACTTCACCCTAATCATTTTCCCCATTCGGTTTCCAAGTATAAAAGGGTAACTTAGGAGGATTTTTCCCCACTTTCTTCAGCTCATATATCATATATATTATAAGAGGGAGAGTTAGAGAAATTGGTGAGAATTGCCTTAAGTATAGCAAGCTATCGCACGCACCGCACCGCGCCGAGAGCTTCGTCGCACGCACGGACGTAAGGTCGAACAACCCCGAGCAACAGTAGCGATCAGTCAAGAGGTCGAACAAGTAGCTTAAGTTTAATATATTTTTCAGTTAATAAGATCACTTCCTAGATAATTGTTCGATCATGCTCGGGGGTTAGCATTGAGGTCGAGATGGTCGTGCGTATGGCCTAGGTTAATCATGTTCATGTGTGAATCACCAATCTCTTGAGTAGTTGCTATATAATCAGCCTTTTTATGTTCTATCATGTCTATTCAGTTTAATTTGTTCGAAAGAATATGAAGTTCAATTGTGGTTTTGGCCGAAGGAAGTGGCCGTGCACATAGCACGTGCCACCGGCCGCTCAAGCATAACAAGTGCTTTAAGTAATGACTCCTTCGAACATTCATGTCTATTTATATTGTTCATGATCAGTTAGGCGTGAGTTGCCGAAAGAAAACGAAAATTGGTCGTAAAACGGCTTACCGCCGTCGGCGGCGCACGGTGCGCCCGCCGCGGCCAAGTCCAACTTTTTGAACAAAATTCATGTTTTCAAGTTAATTCAATATTCATGTTCATGCTAGGTCAGATTAAGTCGTTTAAAGTTAAAATGTTCGAGTGAAGTTGCCGGACGGCCGGCAAGGGCCGACCG